CAGCAATTCCCTGATGATCATTTAAATGTGTGTCAGCTTCCGGTAACTTTGTGAAATGTGGTGTGAGGATGTGTTTTGTGCACCTCGATGGCCACACACACACACACACACACACACACACGGAGCTGCCTCAGGTCAAGACCTCCAGCTCCTTCAGGAGGAGCTTAGTTTTCTGCTCTGCAAAACCATTCAGCCTCCACAGCACCCGGCTCACCGCTCGCTCCCTGCACACCTCTGCAGACAATTTTTGCCAATTTCTATCCGATCCATTGAGATCACACTGCAACACACACATACATACATATGCACAACACATGTACAACACATGTGCATATAACACAAATCTGACCTCACCCCCACCACACCCCGGCTCCACATTCCACAGCAGATAATGTCTTCACCAGGCTGCAGACCACATATTGTTGCTGCGCTTGTTTTTACTGTTGCCATTCAGAGCCTCTGTCTCTTGGGTCGTGCAGGTCACATGACGAGGGGGGTGAGGGGACTCGGTCATGTGATAACACGCTTCTGAAGATTCTGCCTCCCCCCACGTACCTCATATTCTGCACACTGTGTGTTAGATATACATTTAAATAAGAATCACATCTGGGCTGAGATAGAAAAGAGTAAACATAATAAAAAAGCTATTAAAGAATAAATAAAAGAATAAATACACTAAAACTAAAAAAGATAAAAATTAGAATTAGCAAAAATGTACTTTTGAAAAACATTTATTTTGTTTCTTTAATCACAAATTCTCTGTTTTGTGTCCTGCGCATACTTAATAACAGTTTTCATTTTGCAATTTTGATCAATTGTATTAGGTTCCTCTCCCAAATCCTTTAACCAAGTTTCGTTCAATTGTTTTTGTGTAACTTTGCTGACAATGAAACGAATGAACCAACGAACAAATGAAAACATAACCTTCACGGTGGATGATAACGTTTACTGAAAATATACCAAGACACTCTTGATGACACAGATACAAACTGTACCCAAACTTTGCAGAACCCTGGTGTGAATTATTGATGTGTGATGTGGAACAGGGTTCGGTTCCAACAAGTCAGACTTGTTTAAGAAGAGACAGTTTAAAAAGGGATCAGTCGTAGGAGGTATAAAAAATAAAGTTACACCTAGTAAGTCTGGATTGTACAGTGCGTCACCCGAGATATCAGACTTTAAATGCTGCTGTGACACTTGTTGCTCCTTCAGGGGTAGAATTCAATTCAATTTATCTAATGACACTTTGTTTTATCCACTTTAACACTTTCACATGTGTTGTGATGATTAAGGTTTTCTTTCGAGATGTTTTACGTGACTGCGTGCTCCAAAATATCCATCAGTGGACAATGCAAAAGAAAAACTAACTTCCCAAAAGTAAGGAAATTCTGGGAACATTGTTGGAAACATTTTGTTCAGCTTATTTAAAAGCCAGTAAGAGATTTCAAGTGAATCTTCTCGTATATTTACTTGTGTTTCTATTTGTTTACAAGCTGCATGTGGCTGCAAGAGGACAATGTAATATTTTACAACATGTACAAGGTAAAACTAGGTCATATATCGATGCAGAGTCTTGGCTCACACCTGTAATTACTGAAAGCCCTTTAGTGTCCGAGAGAAAACAGTCACCTGACACACGTAATCATGTGATCACACCTTTTGCAGCCAAGTCAAATATCAGGCAGTAAAGAGCAGCAGGGAAACGTCCGTGGCGACGTTTTACAAGACGCCTTTTTGTCTGTCATCCACGGCACAGCTCCACCAAACCTTTACGGTAAATTCCTCACATAGCCTTTCTAATCGCTGACTGAAGATGAATGGAACTAAAAATAGAAAGAAAAGAACGAGGGGTTGTCATCACAAAGGAGCGTGAGAGGAGAACAGGTTTATTTCCCTGCTCTCTTAACACAATCATCTCAGACTCCGGACCTTTGACCTCTCTACAGGCTTTTCTACCGGGAACCAGAATCGTCCTGTGAGCTCAGCAACGTAATTTAAGAGTAGAATTTAAGACTGAGTGGCAGTGGAGGGGTAATGATACTGGTTTATGATCTTTATAATGTGCTTATCTGTCTCTGTAGTTTTGCTTCTCAGGTTCAAGCTCCACAGAAACGAGTCAGAAGCTGAAGGTGGAGTTAAAACATATACGACGATCACATTCGATCTTTCATTCTTATATCTTTTAGTAGACTTTGTTTTTATGATGCGTTTTACACACCATGTCTCAGCCTGAGTTATCTGAGACTCTGTACATGGCTCCTGCTTTGACAAATTAGAATCTGAATCAGGTTTTTGGCCGAACAGGTTTACACAAACAAGGAATTTGCAAGGAAGTACAAAATAAAAAAATAGGAAACAAAAAACCGATTAAATCTCTGGCGACCTACTGATGAAAACAAACATTTAATTCACTTTATCTTTTCTGAAGACATAATTTTTTGATGTGAAGTGGAGCTGAAGGAAAACAAGGCGGCTGATTATTAGGTTTATACGACAACATTCAGGAATAACATTGTTGTCTCAGTTTGTCTATAATGTTGATCCCACTCCACTGTTCCTGTCATATGGTCCAGTTCCTATAAGTTATCATGTTCTTATTTGATTCCCTGGCAACTTGATGTTTGCTCTTCTTCTCCTTCTTTAGCAAACAGCCTTAAAACATTTATCCTCCTGTTAAATTTAAATAATAAGAATTGCATCTTTGGAGACTGAATAATAGATGTGGCCTTCCGTGAGCTTCTTGTGAATCCTTTTTATTGTTTTCTCTTTCTTTCCCTTTTCCTCTAAAGCACTTTAAGGAAATCTCCTGGTACAGATTTGGCTAAAAAGACAAATAAGTGGACAAGAGGAACCTTTGTTAGTGTGAAAAGTTGGTGACTTTAAGTATTTTCAAGCCTCTAAATATCCTTCAAATAAAAACCATGAGGATGAAGTTGTGGAGAAATGAACAGCACATGTATTTCCCAAAAAGTAAAGTCACAAACCTCTTGGTGTTGATAGTTGTAGTTTTCATATACAGTCTCATAGCTCCCCCTTGTGCTCACACATCTTTCCTACACCATGAAAGAGCTGCTGTATGAGCTGGTGGAACATACACGTCACATGTAGTGAAGACAAAATAAATCTTCGGCTTCCAGAGAATATAAAGCATCCATTAAAATGTTAAATACCAGCATAAATGATTCAACTTCTCTATGAGCTGTGACCAAATTAATCACTCTGTGGCAAATCAGGAAGATGAGGCACTTTATTAAAATGTACAGCACGATTCCTCATGAGACAAAAAAGACCACGGCCAAAACTGTAATAGCCAATAACTTTTGCAAATTGACGGGCTTTAGGTTTAATAAACAGAGTTCTCATTTTAATTATCCCAAATGAATGTGTCGGATTAATTATCTGCTATAAAACTGTTGAAATGCAAAAAAAACCCTAATTATTCAAAGTTTTACAATGCCCCTTTTTTCCATCAAAGAGTTTGACTTGTTTTTTCTTTCAAAGTAAAGGGGAAAAAAAATCCTCTTTCAACTTCATTTACCAGGCGAAACAATGTAGTGTGGGCAGAGCCGCACATCTCCAGTGGCCAATTTCTGGATTTGAGACTTAACTCTGGGGATTAGCTGGAAGAGCAGTTAATTGCTTTAAACCAATGACGCTGAATTAAGCCTTTGATTTTTTTTGGACTCCTTTTATGATCAGAGTGAGAACGAAGGGAGGAAGGGATGGAGGAGAACAAAACGTGAGAGTGAAGGAGGAGAGAAGACGAAGAAACGACCACATCACATTAACGCCGCGGCTACAGCGTCTTTCATCACAAGGTTATGATATGAAAAGTGTAATTTACAGGAGGAGGAGGAGGAGGTGGAGATCAGATGACTAATTACACTCTGTTCACAAGCCTGGAGCAGTGCACTCTGGGAAGCAGCGCAGGGCAGAGAGGCTCTGATCAGCCAGCTGAACGAAGCATCAAACACGAAGCATCAAACACACCCAACTCTTATTTTGATTTCCATTTCTGACTCAGCAGGTGGGTGAGTGTGAGTGAGTGAGTGAGTGAGTGTGTGTGTGTGTGTGTGTGTGTGTGTGTGTGTGTGTACCTATGGTATGTACGAGTGAGTGAGTGTGTGTGTGTGTGTGTGCATGAAGGTGAACAGAGAATTCATCCATCATGTTTTTTTTCTGTCTCTATCTCCATCCGTAAGAATAAAGTGAATTTTCTGTTTCAGCCTTTGTGATCATTAGTTCCGCTCAAATCTCCGTTTCTATGACAACAGAGATGAGTCGTCTCAGTTTCCAGTCTGTGTTATTTCTATTTTTTTTTTTTTATTCTTCTCAGGCCCAGATTAGATTTGAATTTTCTGCTACCAAGAAAAGTCGTGACATGTTGAAATGACCTCTCAATCGTTCTGCATCTACATAATTTAAAAAGCATTTATACACACAATTAATGCATTATCAAGAAAAATATATACTATATATATATATATATATATATATAAATTACAGTGGTTTTAACTCCTGAAAACAATGATGCTCAGTTCTGATCAATTTAAAATGTTTTCCTGGTTGTGTGTACCTTTGAATTTCTTTGTTTGCAATTATTTGAATGAAGCTTAAATGTTTTCTTCTTGTTAAACCAAATTCTCAAAGTGGGAAAATGTATTAGAAAATCTAATTTGTAATCTTTGTGTCATGTCATATGTTATTATAATTATTGATCTCAAATGGTCTTTTCACCTGACACAGGTTCTCTTCCATGTTTGGAAGGTGAGGGGTATTCAGCTGCAACATGCAGCTTAACCACTAGATGTCACTAAACTCTACACACTGAACCTTTAAGACACCCAACCACTTTTGTGCACAAGACAAAAAAATACCCTAAATTAAATGTTAACATTCTTGTGGTTAATTCAGTTTTCTTTGAAATTAAAGGAACTCATTTCATTGCTCCTCCACTGAGTGTCAATCAACTTGTCTGGTTCCTCGATGTCTGTCTGCTCTTTGTGTTGGTTCTGCAGGACAAACCAGAATCTGGCGTCCACCACTGATTCTTTAGATCTTTTGTTTTTCATTCTCACCAAAGCCAGAAATATATCTCTCTGTGATGTCTCTCCATCTGTGTTTGGCCACTTCTTCATAAGAAAGAGGAAGAAACAAACAACTTAAAGCCCAGAAACTGAAATGTTCTTATGATCAGTGTTTTTTCAATAAACACCCACTTTCCTGAAAACCTACAGCAAAGGCTTTCATATCAGCCCCTCGTGGGAACATCTGAGCCCTAACAGTGCAGATAGATGCGTGCACACGCACACACACAAACCTCCCCCTCCCTTCCCTCCCCCCCTGTGCCCTTCCCTCTCTCCCACCTGTCTGTCAGAAAAGACCCGAGCCTCACGAGTGTGTGATGCTGCCATCAGCCTAATTATCAGGGTGGAAGGAGGCACAACACTTCAGCAACAGTTCTCCAAATGTCCTCTACTGCCACACACCACCCTCCCTGAGGAATAAGAGGGAGAGTGTGTGTGTGTGTGTGTGTGTTAACATGCACGTTTGACTGTTAAATTGTGTCTGTGCATCAAGATTAAAAAGTACGCGGACACCTGAACGTCACACCCGTGAGCGACTGCTGACTCTTTTATTTCGTAACCACGGGAAATTTCTCAAAGACAAATCACTGCTCATGCTCCGAGCTCTGGAGCCAATGGGAGCGTTTGATTTTGAGATTTATTTTAAACCTCTTTGTTCAATGTGTTGGGTAATTTAAAAAAATATATATTCAATAATGAGATAGTTTTGTCAATAAGCAGATTAAATCACTGATGTTATGTCGCGGCCTGTGCGTTGCCTTGTTGACTGTATCTAACGCTTCCTGAGGAGGGACAGCGCCCTCTGATAGAAACAACCCACGACAACAGAAACCATCTTTATTTGACGCCAACTTTGTCTTGTCTAATTTGGTCCCATCTGCTAACATGGAGGAGGCAGAATTATGACCTGTACTGCATCCAGCCACCAGAGGGCGCTTGAGATCGTTTCAAATAAGGGTGATGAATACCGTGGTTGAACCAATCTGCTCTCGTTTGTTCTCTCGACGTCTCTCTCGTCTTCAGTATCGTTATCGTGGCCGCGCTCCGGCCAGGGTCTCTGCAAATGGGAAGAAATCAGAGGCGTCGTGATACATTGATCGCTCCGCTGACCTTCTGCGCTTCACCTCCTCCGCTGGAAACAGGCCTTCGAGGCAGAGACAGCCCGAGAGTCGCCGCAGCCATTATCAAAATCATAATTCATCTTAACGTTAAACTGCACAGTGTTTTCAGATTGATGGCCGACATCAGAGCGGCCGCCTGTGCGAGGGGCCTGGCGGAGGCTCAACCTTGTGATAATGTTTCATTTCATCCTCTCCTTGTCTTCCTGTACAGTAATACCTCAGCTAGATCATTTGGCCCATAAAGCTTAAGACGTTCTGGGAAATTGGATTTAAAGCTGAGTGAAGGCCCGGAGGCTGTAACACGGGGACGTTTGAGTACGAAAAAAAAAGTCTTCCTGTGGCTCTTTTCCCTCCATTCTTTCCTTTTTTTTACATTTTTCTATCAATTATTTAAGGCGTACAGTGGTGTGCAATAATATTTCTGTGCTACATTTTTACGAGGAGCCGCTGTGACTGAATGCGGCGCGGTCGCCTTTAAACTTTATGAATTCATCTATTCTCCCTCTGACACTTGAAGAAGCTGCGGCATTAAAATCATTACCCTCCCTGTCTCTCGTCTCGGCATCACGAGCAATAGAAAAGAGAACATGACAGAACGATTGTCGGAGACAAAGATCATAAAGATCATCATAGATCAATATCAAGGCAGGAAAAATAATCTGTGAAGAGATGTAAAGACAGAACCTTGGAAAGTGCCTCTGAGGATTTAAGTGCAATGTGGCGTCAGGGTTAAATATATGAGTGTACGAGAACCACACAGCGGCTGCTACTCCTGCTTTCTCCCCATTTCCTCCTGCTCGACTCCCCGTGGTGGGTCAATAACTCGGGAGCCGGATCTCGGGGTGGGGGGTGTTAGGGAGCAAGATGGAAGAATGCAATCTCGTCGCTAAGCCTGGACCCTCTCCGGAGCTCAGGACTTGATATTTCATCCCGCTCTGTCAGCCGGCTCCCGCAGCCCCTGATCCCCACCGCCCTTCATCAGCAGATGCAGCATCTCTTCAGGTGGTTTCACTTAGAGGCACAGTGGATGTGACACGAGTTGCTCATCGGTCAGCGCCCAGAGGTCGGCGCCTTAACAAGCCGATCACTGAGGGATGTGTCAGTCAGGCCGCCTCTGGGCGAAGGCCCCCGGCAGTGGAATCAGTCTTTAATGGTAAATGACGGATCATTATTTATTTATGGGGCTTTTGGAGAGAAGTCGCCGTCATTATCCAACACACACACAAGAACAGAAGACATTTCCCCTGGTGGCTGGCTGCAGTATCGCTCATAAAGAAATCCCGCCTCCTCCATGTTTGTTGATGGGACATGGACCAAACTAAAAAGTGCACATTATATACATTTTTCTCAAAGATGGTTTCAGCCATCGTAGTTAGTTCTGTTGATGTTTCTGATGATTTCACTTATTTGATGCTTCAAAAACAAACTGTCATGATTGACAGCTGAGAACACTTGGTCGAGTGCGTGTATCAGGAGGTTCATCGCCTAGTGGGAGGATGTGCAGATGCATCATCCATTTTTATAAAGTGTCTATGAGAAAGAGTAAAGAACGCAAATAGTTTAGTCGAGCACATTCCTCAGACCCATGAATTATTCTCTGGGAAACTGGTCGAAATGTCCAAGAAACTGATTAAAATAAATCCTGGATTCTCACCTTTGTAAACTTAAAGGGTTCTTTCTTAGCCAGTGAACCTCCCGTCCACCAAGTTTAGTGGAAATCTATTCAGAAGTTTTTGTGCAATAAAGCTTAAAAACAAACAAACCAGTGGACTCTGGGAAAAAACTTGACCTCACTGGCAGAGAAAACGAATCAGTCTAAAACATCGAACCGAGCATATTTTTATATAGAAATTTAAAATCGAATCTCTTACCCATGTATTTGCTCTAAATGATCACTTGTGTGTGTGTGTGTGTGTGAGTGGTAAGAACCTTTAACATCAGAATAACTTACTCGGGGTCCCAGCAGTCGGTGCCGGAGTGATCCAGGGGTCAAGACTTCCAGCGTCCACATCAGACGGCAGAGGTGACGATGGACGACCTCCCTGCAGCAGCACAAAGACGTGAACCTCAACATCTGACATTTGCTCGCCCGTAAGAGCCCATCAATATTTATAAGCATCAATATTCAATATGCTTTCATTATGATAATTCATCATTTCACAAGATAAACCAAACAAAAAACTTTACAGTTTGAAAATGGGTTAATAATTAATTCACTGATAAATAAAACTGTCTGAGCCGCTGAACAAGCACCAGATGATACCTCTGTATTTTTATGGAGGTTACGTATCCATCTGCCGCTGTTTGTTACGGAAGGATTATGCAAAAACCGCTGGACAGATTATCATGAAACTTGGTGGAAGGATTCGACGTGAGGCAGATTTTTAAAAATGCTGATTTCTGATTTCTCAGAAAGTAATTTGTAGACCCTGTTTAGGGGCCTGAAATTCATGAGTATGTGCAGTTTAAATTAAAAATACAGCTCTTCTGAATTTAGATGCGGTTTAATGAGGGGACTGTTGGGTCTTGGTGGAGGGATGCGCTCTGAACCTGCCATTCTAAACCTCTTCTACACAAAAATCAGTGAGTGTGCGCAGGTTTCTAACACAAAATAGGAATAACAAGTGAATTTTCTCTCAAGACTTGCATGAAGGGTAAAATACACACGAGCCGTCCCTCTAAAAGCTTTGCTTCGCCGTCACCTGGTGTCAAACAGTGCTGTCACTTCCACGCTTCCAGGCTTTATGACCACGTCCACTCTGCACACACATCAAACACAATATGAATCCCTCATCCTCTTTTCTCTGCCTCACACATGTGGCTGCCGGTGGCTCCGAGCTCTTTTCATTATCGACGGGGCCATTTGTCTGCCCGGGCGGATGCTCTGCGAGATTAGCATCTGTCAGATGTCAGGTAGCGGCCTGCGAACAGGGATGGTATTTTTCTACCGGTTACTGCCAGAAAACACGAGCGTGCTCTGGGAGTAACGCAGCGTCAGAGGAAATGCATGTTGAGCTGAGAGGTGATGTACAATGAACACAAGCTGCGGAGCGAAGATTTATGTCGGTGGAGTAGAAGCACGGACGCTCACAACATTGTCGACCCTTATCACTGAAAGCTCTCCTGACTCCTTCGGTGTCCATCTTCGTTTTTTTTCAATGTTGCATCTGTTGCGTGTTGTCATCAATGCGTCCACTCGCTTGTTAATCCCTGAGGATCTGTTTTATCTCATGGGCTCGTTCGGACATTATCCGGAGTTCAGTTCATGTCTGAACGCAGCTTTAGATGTTCTTGTTTTGCCATTTATTCGTCTGCTCACCATATTCTGCGACATCACACCTGTCACAACATAATCTGTGATTTGCACTTTTGCTCAAACGGTCCTTGTGGATCAGGCAGCGTTTCCATCACTTCCTCTACAGGACGACAATCACAGAGCAGGAAAAGTGTTGCTTTTGTGAACCTCAGTTTATTGTCAGCAAACACCCGAGCGTCTAACGAGGCAGATTTGTCAGAGGAAACTTTCACTGCGTTTTTTCCAGAAAGGTTAGCTCCGGTTCACACGGCATCAAACGGAGCCCGGTGTGTGAAAGAAACAAAGTGAAAGCATCGGGGGGGGAATGTGTCATTGTCAGATGTTTTGCATTAAATATTCAGCGATCTGCCTGTTTGTTTCTCCTTTGTTTGATGTTTGCTGAGGTGTAGTAACACATCTGTTTGACATGAATCCAGCAGATGAACGCTGACTGACAGAAAAGGTGGGAACACTCGGAGCGCGGCGATTCCTCAATATCAGATGCTTCGTGTTTTTTTTCTCCTCCTGTGTCACACAGGGTGCGGTGATTCTTTTGAAAAATGCATAAAAAAAACCTGTGTCCTCATTTGAACAGGGAGAGTTTGATCGCGATGATAAGAGAAAATACGGCGGCGTTACACCCGAGTCAGTGAAATGATTGAAGCAAGAGGTAAAAACTTTTCACATCTGATGTTTCAATCCGACTCTAAATCCACAAACCATTTATTGTGAAGGTCAAACGTCTTGATATTTCCCATCTGGCTTCTTTCAAGACCTTCCTGCATGAAGCTTTCTGCAGCAACAACTCCACAAACTGCACAATGGTGAAGTGTATGAAGACTGTACGTTTGAAGGTTATTTACTGAACCTGGCAGACTGAAGGACAAAGCAAAGGCAGCTGCGTTTATCACGTCTCTTCGGAGAGACTAACAAACATGCGGGAGCTTTGTAGCTGCTCGGATGGAGATTCTCTCCATCTGTTAACACGGAGGATCATCTGAAGGTTCTTGTTTGAAATTAGATGGCTAAACAAAAATAATAAATGCATGCACTGACTTCAGAAATCACAGAGATGTGTTTGGGTATGTGAGCGTGCAGCGATGAAGAGGAAGCTCAGTCTCCAGGATCATTACGACAGAGCGAACTGTAATTCTCCTTATGAAAACATTTTATTGTCGCCTCACCTCAGTTCTTCACTCGGCAGCTGGGAGGTCATTATGATGGTCAGAGGTCAGAGGTCAGAGGTCAGAGGTCGTGGGTTGGGGTCACCTGATCAGCTGGTCCCTGCAGAGGACATAGCGTGATTAGCCTGAATTAGCAGTAATTTAAAGGCACAATGGGAACATGAGCTAAGCGTGATTAAATCTCAACTATAATAAGGACACATGTTGGTTTGACTTTTTTATGTTACACATTTTTATGTAAACTGCACATTCTAGTCTATTGTGATTATTCGAGGGAATATATCACATTTACGGACATGAGCAGGGAAATATATAACAGAACATTTCAACACTATCACCGTCTATAACCTCAGGAATGTATATTTTTTTAAATGAACACATCCCAGAAAGTTTTAGAGAGCAGATAAAAACTTACATAAAGTTACAGTATGTGGCTCCAGCTGTTGATTGAAATAGATCTGTGAGTTCTGCCTCATTGTCCTGAATGGCTGAGGAGAAACTGGGAGGTTTCTTCCTCCTCCTCCTCCTCCTCCTCTTCTTCCTGCAGGAGGTGGAAGTATCTCTTCCTCCTCTTAATCGTCGATGCCAAATGTCTGCAGAGCAACAACACACAAGTGAAAGTCATAAATACAGGGTGTCAAGGCTTTAATAATGATGTATGTTCACTGTTCACAACGAACCAAAATGACAAATGAAAGGAAAAGAGAAATAAATTACACATAAACCATAACGGACGAGCCTCAACATTAATCTCCTGTCTTTGTCAGAGACATAAAAACACCATCAAAGCTGATGAGTTATTGTAAAAGTACACGTCATTAGAATAATCCCTCACAACGACACACACACAACAAACAGCACACGTCTAAATCAGAGCACAGCGGCGGCAGGAAGACACAATGACACCTCACTAGGGCATCATGGGAGAAACGTGTCACTTCTGGTCGTATTAACGACTTCATTACAGCAATTTACTGTCCAACCGGAACCTTTCCTCCAACGCCGCCTGTTTGTTTTTCTCACAGTCAACGTGCAATTACCTTTGCATTAATGCGGCACCGGAAAATTAAGAGACGCAACTGTTGAGGTGACTTTGCCAAGAGAGAAGACGACACACCTCCGAGCGACTTAATCATTTTATACGAGCGACTTTTCTTCTCGAGACGGTTGGATTATAAAAAACACAATACATGAGAACAGAGTATATTTATTCTTATCGTTACAGTTTGTGTTGTAAATTATATCAGAAGCACAAACACCACCACCGTCTTTAACCTCGGGAATAAAACGTGTTCGATTAACCCCCGTCAGAAAGTTTTAGAAGAAACATTTAAAAACAAACATAAAGTGCCAGAAGTTCTAAACTCAGCTGTTGTACCGGATAGAAATAGATTCTATAAATGTTCAAAGAAAGTGATGCCAGCAAGTTCAGTGCTATCCCACTGATCACCAGTGTGTGGCAGTGTCATGTGGTCACACACACACACACAGTCCTTCTTGTCGTGTGCTATGCTAACATCGGTTGCACCACCTCAGTGTCATTAGCATGGCTGTAGCTTTAGCCAGCATGGTAGCATGTTAAGCTAGCACTCACACAAACAATTGAATCTTGATAAACTGTCTTTAGACACAGAGTCACAACATGTGGTAAATAAACTCAAGACATGTCATTCAGTGTTCTTTGGGCACACGTGTTGTGTAATGTTTGCCCCCCCCCCTCACCTCATGCAGGGTTTCCTGGTTCCTCTGTCAAACAGCGAGTGGAGGATTCCAACTCCATTTGTAGGGGGGGGGGGGGTAACTGGAGTGTACCACATGACAGCCAGTCCAGAGGGGGAGGGGGGTTCACTCTTTTAATTGCCCATATAATGGAGCATAGTGATATTTCTGTGATGGACGTATAAATGTTTTTAATGTGTATATTAGTGTGTATATTAGTGTGTATATTAGTGTGTATATACCTCGAGTGCACTGAATGCGAGTGAAGATGATCGTCCATTTTCTATTTGCACTGTGGGATCTGTTTCATTCATATTTGCACGTTGCATTTTTAACCCGCTGTCTATTTATTCGTCCTCACGCATATGTTCCACTCTCGGTTGCACTGTGGGACCTGTTTACGTTTCCTTCCTGCATATCTTAGCTGGCCGTTTATTTATCGGTGTGTGTGGGGGTGTGTATTACTTGTAATATTACTTTCGTGCTTCTTTGGTGGTGGGTGAACTATCCTATGAATGTTGTACGATGACAATAGAGTTTCTATTCTATTCTAATTTCACATCTTGAGGAGATTTGTTAATTGATTTTGTCTTTATGGTTTGTCTTGTGGGAGGGGCTCCCGATATATATATATCGGTACTAGGTCCCAGGTTTATTAGGCCTCAATGACAGTTTTCCAGAGCGGTAAACTTCCTGTTTTATCCAACAAGTGGAGTGTGGGGGGGGGGCGTACTCTCTGCTCGGGTGAGACCAGACAAGCGGAGGAACAAACGCCTGCATGTGCTCCAACCCTCTGCTGCTGCACTTGGTATTTGTTATCTAGCGAGCAGCTGGCTGGTAATATTTTGTCCACAAGTGGAGCCAAGCACTTCAGCCTAGGAGGGGGGGGGGGCACTTCACTGCTGCAGCATGTTAATCTGGCTCGGAGACGTGTCTGTTCTATTTGC